GTATCACATTAGACACAATGTACGACATTAGACACAGTGTACGACATTAGACACAGTGTACGACATTAGACACAGCGTACAACTTTAAACACAGTTTATAAGATAAGACACAGTGTATGCCATTAGACACAGTGTACGGCATTAGACACAGTTTATAAAATTATACACAGTGTACGTCATTAGACACAGTGTATGACAATACAAACAGTGTACGACATTAGACACAGTGTACGACATTAGACACAGTGTACGACATTAGACACAGCGTACAACTTTAAACACAGTTTATAAGATAAGACACAGTGTATGCCATTAGACACAGTGTACGGCATTAGCCACAGTTTATAAAATTATATACAGTGTACGCCATTAGACACAGTGTATGACAATACACACAGTGTACCACATTTAACACAGTGTACCACATTAGACACTGTGTACGACATTAGATACATTGTACGACATTAGACACAGTGTACAACATTAAACACAGTGTACGACATTAGACGCAGTGTACAACATTAAACACAGTGTACGACATTAGACACAGTGTATGACATTAGACACAGTGTACCACATTTAACACAGTGTACGACATTAGACACTGTGTACGACATTAGATACATTGTACGACATCAGACACAGTGTACAACATTAAACACAGTGTACGACATTAGACGCAGTGTACAACATTAAACACAGTGTACGACATTAGACACAGTGTATGACTATTCACACAGAGGACGCCATTAGACACATTGCACGACATTTAACACAATGTACGACATTAGACACAGTGTACAACACTAGACACAATGTACAACATTAGACACAATGTATCACATTAGACACAGTGTACGACATTAGACACAGTGTACGACATTAGACACAGTGTACAACTTTAAACACAGTTTATAAGATAAGACACAGTGTATGCCATTAGACACAGTGTACGACATTAGACACAATGTACGACATTAGACACAGTGTACAACATTAGACACAATGTACAACATTAGACACAGTGTATCACATTAGACACAGTGTACGACATTAGACACAGTGTACGACATTAGACACAGTGTACAACATTAGACACAGTGTACAACATTAGACACAGTGTATCACATTAGACACAGTGTACGACATTAGACACAGTGTACGACATTAGACACAGTGTACAACATTAGACACAGTGTACAACATTAGACACAGTGTATGACATTAGACACAGTGTACGACATTAGACACAATGTACGACATTAGACACAGTGTACAACATAAGACACAGTGTATGACATTAGACACAATGTATCACATTAGACACAGTGTATGACATTAGACACAGTGTACAACATTAGACACAATGTACAACATTAGACACAGTGTACGACATTAGACACAGTGTATGACATTAGACACAATGTACAACATTAGACACAGTGTACGACATTAGACACAGCGTACAACTTTAAACACAGTTTATAAGATAAGACACAGTGTATACCATTAGACACAGTGTACGACATCAGACACAGCGTAGTGTATACAATTATACATATAAGATAAGACACAGTGTATGCCATTAGACACAGTGTACGGCATTAGACACAGTTTATAAAATTATACACAGTGTACGTCATTAGACACAGTGTATGACAATACACACAGTGTACCACATTTAACACAGTGTACCACATTAGACACTGTGTATGACATTAGATACATTGTACGACATTAGACACAGTGTACAACATTAAACACAGTGTACGAAATTAGACACAGTGTATGACTATTCACACAGATTACGCCATTAGACACATTGTACGACATTTAACACAATTTACGACATTAGACACAGTGTACAACGTTAGACACAATGTACAACATTAGACACAGTGTATCACATTAGACACAATGTATCACATTAGACACAATGTATCACATTAGACACAGTGTACGACATTAGACACAGTGTATGACATTAGACACAGTGTACAACTTCAAACACAGTTTATAAGATAAGACACAGTGTATGCCATTAGACACAGTTTATAAAATTATACACAGTGTACGTCATTAGACACAGTGTATGACAATACACACAGTGTACCACATTTAACACAGTGTACGACATTAGACACTGTGTACGACATTAGATACATTGTACGACATTAGACACAATGTACGACATTAGACACAATGTACGACATTACACACAGTGTACGACATTAAACACAGTGTACGACATTAGACATATTGTATGACATTATTCACAGTGTATGATATTAGACACAGTGTATGAGATTAAGCACAGTGCGCGACATTAGACACTCTGTACGACATTAGACAGAGTGTATGACATTAGACACTGTTGATGACATTAGACACAGTGTACGACTTTAAATACAGTATATGACATTAGACACAGTTTACGACTTTAAATACTGTATATGACATTAGACACCGCTGATGACATTTGGCACAGTTTACGACTTTAGATACAGTATAAGACATTAGACACCGTTGATGACATTTGGCACAGTTGACGACTTTAGATACAGTATAAGACATTAGACACAGTGTATGACATTATACTCCGTTGATGACATTAGACATCGTTGATGACAATAGACACCGTTGATGACATAAGACACCGTCGATGACATTAGACACCGTTGATGACATTAGACACAGTGTACGACTTTAAATACAGTATATGACATTAGACACAGTGTACGACTTTAAGTACTGTATATGACATTAGACACTGTTGATGACATTAGACACAGTGTATGACATTAGACGACGTTGATGACATTAGACACCGTTGATGACATTATACACCGTTGATGACATTAGACACCGTTGATGACATTAAACACCGTTGATGATATTATACACCATTGATGACATTAGACACCGTTGATGACATTAGACACCGTTGATGACATTATACACCGTTGATGACATTATACACCGTTGATGACATTAGACACCGTTGATGACATTAGACACCGTTGATGACATTATACACCGTTGATAACAATAGACACTGTTGATGACATTAGACACCGTTGATGACATTATACACCGTTGATGACATTACACACCGTTGATGACATTATACACCGTTGATGACAATAGACACTGTTGATAACATTAGACACCATTGATGACATTATACACCGTTGATGACATTAGACACCGTTGATGACATTAGACACCGTTGATGACATTATACACCGTTGATGACATTAGACACCGTTGATGACATTAGACACCGTTGATGACATTATACACCATTGATGACATTATACACCGTTGATGACATTAGACACCGTTGATGACATTAGACACCGTTGATGACATTATACACCGTTGATGACATTAGACACCGTTGATGACATTAGACACCGTTGATGACATTATACACCGTTGATGACATTATACACCGTTGATGACATTAGACACCGTTGATGACATTAGACACCGTTGATGACATTATACACCGTTGATGACATTATACACCGTTGATGACATTAGACACCGTTGATGACATTAGACACCGTTGATGACATTATACACCGTTGATAACAATAGACACTGTTGATGACATTAGACACCGTTGATGACATTATACACCGTTGATGACATTACACACCGTTGATGACATTATACACCGTTGATGACAATAGACACTGTTGATAACATTAGACACCATTGATGACATTATACACCGTTGATGACAATAGACACTGTTGATGACATTAGACACCGTTGATGACATTATACACCGTTGATGACAATAGACACTGTTGATGACATTAGACACCGTTGATGACATCATACACCATTGATGACAGTATACACCGTTGATGACATTAGACACCGTTGATGACATTAGACACAGTGTATGACATTAGACACCGTTGATAACAATAGACACCGTTGATGACATTAGACGACGTTGATGACATTAGACACCGTTGATGACATCATACACCATTGATGACATTATACACCGTTGATGACATCATACACCATTGATGACAGTATACACCGTTGATGACATTAGACACCGTTGATGACATTAGACACCGTTGATGACATTATACACCATTGATGACATTAGACACAGTGTATGACATTATACACCGACGATGACAATTGACACCGTTGATGACAATTGACGCCGTTGATGAAAATTGACACAGTGTATGGTAATGAACATGAGTTTACTAAAAAAACTTTTTTTTCCTCGAATATTTCTATTTACTGTTTATACAGTCATATAATTACCTTATAATTGGTTATGGTACCTTATTTCTATGAATTTGAACTTGGACTTATTAAAGATGATATTGATACTCCATTATCGTCAAAAGCATGCCCAGACACCGATAAGTACACTCTCTTTCCCTCTCTCTCTCTCTCTCTCTCTCTCGGAGTTTTTTAAATTTGTTCTCTTATCACAATTTATGTAATGGGTGAAACTTATCAAAAGTAATTATAAGTACCTGGTATCAATGCCATTTTTTCTGCTGTGTCTAGGACAGCTAATCGTCCATTCCTGTTACTCTCACATGACGTATCAGCGCTCGTCCAACTCGTCATCACCGGCACGATCAGAACACACATCTTCAGCCCCACGTTGTAGATAAACCCGGTCGCCTTACAAAGCGATCCCTCTACAACTGGTAATAAATATTCCTAATAATAATAGATAAGTAATATGTCAACGGCATTATGAAAGACCTCTCCTTAATGAACTTACAACAATAATAACGATCCCATTACAAACACCAGTCATGATAATATGCTGTCCCCTACACCAAAGGTTATCTCTCTTGGCATTTCGATTAGTGTAAGGGTTGGGTATCGATGAACACGGCGTCGAAGAGGCACTCGTCTGTTCTGAATCTCTTCCGGTCCTTAAAATTCTGCAGTTACGAGACCCCGACAACACTCTCAATCCGTATATATTGTATTTCGAAGAAATGCAAATAATACTTCAATGGATTCCCTGTTGCGTCGGAAGAAAAGGTAACGAAAATGCTGACAGGGCAGATACAAATGCATTAAAGTCCCAGCAAACCAACACCAAACTGACACATAAACCCATTATACGATCGGTCATCCACACCAACATCAAACTGCCAAATAAACCCATTATACGACCGGCCATCCAAACCAACATCAAACTGTCACATAAACCCATTATACGACCGGCCATTCAAACCAACATCAAACTGTCACATAAACCCATTATTCGACCCGCCATCCAAACCAACATCAAACTGTCACATAACGATCGGTCATCCACACCAACATCAAACTGCCAAATAACCCCATTATACGACCGGCCATCCAAACCAATATCAAACTGTCACATAATCCCATTATACGACCGGCCATCCAAACCAACATCTAACTGTCACATAAACCCATTATACGACCGGCCATCAAAACCAACATCAACCTGCCACATAAACCCAATATACGACCGACCATCCAAACCAACATCAAACTGTCACATAAACCCATTATACGACCGGCCATCAAAACCAATATCAAACTGTCACATAAACGCATTATACGACCGGCCATCCAAACCAGCATCAAGCTGCAACATAAACCCATTATACGACCTGCCATCCACACCAACATCAAACTGCCACATAAACCCATTATACGCCCGGCCATCAAAACCAACACCAACCTGCCACATAAACCCAATATACGACCGACCATCCAAACCAACATCAAACAGTCACATAAACCCATTATACGTCCCTCCATCCAAACCAATATCAAACTGCCACATAAACCCCGTATACGACCGTCCATCCAAACCAACATCAAGCTGCCACATATGCCCATTGTACTACCGCCCATCACATAAACCCATTATACGGCCGGCCATCCAAACCAACATCAACCTGCAACATAAACCCATTATACGAATACGACCGGCCATCCAAACCAGCATCAAGCTGCAACATAAACCCATTATACGACCTGCCATCCACACCAACATCAAACGGCCACATAAACCCATTATACGACTGGCCATCCAAACCAACATCAACCTGCAACATAAACCCATTATACGATCGGCCATCCACACCAACATCAAACTGTCACATAAACCCATTATACGATCGGCCATACAAACCAACATCAAACTGCAACATAAACCCCGTATACGACCGGCCATCCAAACCAACATCAAGCTGCAACATAAACCCATTATACGACCGGCAATCCACAGCAACATCAACCTGCCACATAAACCCATTATACGACCGGCCATTCAAAAACATCAAGCTGCAACAAACCCATTATACGACCGGCCATCCACACCAACATCAAACTGTCACATAAACCAATTATACGACCGGCCATTCAAACCAATATCAAACTTCCACATAACCCCATTATACGACCGGCCATCCAAACCATATCAAACTGACACATATACCCAACATCAAACTGTCACATAAACCAATTATACGACCGGCCATTCAAACCAATATCAAACTTCCACATAACCCCATTATACGACCGGCCATCCAAACCAAAATCAAACTGCTACATAAACCCATTATACGATCGGCCATCCACACCAACATCAAACTGCTGCATAAACCAACCCATTATACGACCGGCCATCCACACCAATATCAAACTGCCACATAAACCCATTATCCGACCGGCCATCCACACCAACATCAACCTGCCACATAAACCCATTACATAAACCCATTATACGACCGGCCAACCAAACCAGTCACATAAACCCATTATACGACCGGCAATCCACGGCAACATCAACCTGCCACATAAACCCATTACATAAACCCATTATACGACCGGCCATTCACACCAATATCAAACTTCCACATAAACCCATTATACGACCAGCCATCCAAACCAACAACAAACTGTCACATAACCCAATTATACGACCGGCCATTCAAACCAATATCAAACTTCCACATAACCCCATTATACGATCGGCCATCCAAACCAACATCAAACTTCCACATAAACCCATTATACGACCAGCCATCCAAACCAACAACAAACTGTCACATAACCCAATTATACGACCGGCCATTCAAACCAATATCAAACTTCCACATAGACCCATTATACGACCAGCCATCCAAACCAACAACAAACTGTCACATAACCCAATTATACGACCGGCCATTCAAACCAATATCAAACTTCCAAATAAACCCATTATACGACCGGCCATTCACACCAATATCAAACTTCCACATAAACCCATTATACGATCGGCCATCCAAACCATATCAAACTGACACATATACCCATTATTCGACCGGCCATCCAAACCAACATCAAACTGCCACATAAACCCATTATACGACCGGCCAACCAAACCAATATCAAACTGCTACATAAACCCATTATACGACAGGCCATCCAAACCAACATCAAACTGCCACATAAACCCATTATACGACCGGCCAACCAAACCAATATCAAACTGCAACATAAACCCATTATACGACCGGCCAACCAAACCAATATCGAACTGCTACATAAACCCATTATACGACAGGCCATCCAAACCAACATCAAACTGCAACATAAGCCCATTATACGACCGGCCATCCAAACCAACATCAAGCTGCCACATATACCCATTGTACTACCGCCCATCCAAGGTGAATTACAGCAACAAGGTTCTCTCGAGACCATCAAAAACCTTTTAAAGTGCAATCAAAACTTAAACCTTATCTTTCCAGTCGGAGAGACCACAATGAGGAAGCTGTCCTCCCTGGGCTCCGTACTGGTCAGACTTATCGAGGCTGTGGCATTCCTCGGCTCCCTACTGGTCAGACTTATCGAGGCTGTGGGCTCCCTCGGCTCCCTACTGGTCAGACTTATCGAGGCTGTGGGCTCATTCGACTCCCTACTGGTCAGACCTACCGAGGCTGTGGGTTCACTCGACTCCCTACTGGTCAGACCTATCGAGGCTTTGGGCTCACTCGGCTCCCTACTGGTCAGACCTATCGAGGCTGTGGGCTCACTCGGCTCCCTACTGGTCAGACTTATCGAGGCTGTGGGCTCACTCGGCTCCCTACTGGTCACAAAAAGACTTATCGAGGCTGTAGGCTCACTCGGCTCCCTACTGGTCAGACTTATCGAGGCTGTAGGCTCACTCTGCTCCCTACTGGTCAGACTTATCGAGGCTGTGGGCTCAGTCGGCTCCCTACTGGTCAGACTTATCGAGGCTGTAGGCTCACTCTGCTCCCTACTGGTCAGACTTATCGAGGCTGTGGGCTCAGTCGGCTCCCTACTGGTCAGACTTATCGAGGCTGTGGGCCCCCTCGGCTCCCTACTGGTCAGACTTATCGAGGCTGTAGGCTCACTCTGCTCCCTACTGGTCAGACTTATCGAGGCTGTGGCCTCCCTCGGCTCCCTACTGGTCAGACTTATCGAGGCTGTAGGCTCACTCTGCTCCCTACTGGTCAGACTTATCGAGGCTGTGGGATCCCTCGGCTCCCTACTGGTCAGACTTATCGAGACTTTGGGCTCCCTATGCTCTCTCCTGGTCACACTTATCGAGTCTGGGGGCTCCCTCGGCTCACTACTGGTCAGCCTTATCCAGGCTGTGGGCTCCCTCGGCTCCCTACTGGTCAGACCTATCGAGGCTTTGGGCTCGCTGGGCTCCCTACTGGTCAGACCTATCGAGGCTGTGGGCTCTCTCGGCTCCCTACTGGTCAGACTTATCGAGGCTGTGGGATCCCTCGGCTCCCTACTGGTCAGACTTATCGAGACTTTGGGCTCCCTATGCTCTCTCCTGGTCACACTTATCGAGTCTGGGGGCTCCCTCGGCTCCCTACTGGTCAGACTTATGGAGGCTGTGGTCTCCCTCGGCTCCCTACTGGTCAGCCTTATCGAGGCTGTGGGCTCACTCGGCTCCCTCCTGGTCAGACTTATCGAGGCTGTGGGCTCCCTCGGCTCCCTACTGGTCAGACTTATCGAGACTTTGGGCTCCCTATGCTCTCTACTGGTCACACTTATCGAGTCTGGGGGCTCCCTCGGCTCACTACTGGTCAGACTTATCCAGGCTGTGGGCTCCCTCGGCTCCCTACTGACCAGACTTATCCAGGCTGTGGGCTCCCTCGGCTCCCTACTGGTCAGACTTATCGAGTCTGTGGCATCCCTCGGCTCTATGCATTGGTCTGTTTTATAAACTGTGATTCCATTTACCAACATAACCCTCGTTACTGCATTCCTACATATCTCTTTCCATTTCAATCTTTACACCATATTTTAAATTAAAATTTCATATTTTACTCTTTGTTCTGTTTTTACTCTCTGTACCTCACTTGTTGTTGATTTTCTGAGATATACAACTTTTTATCTTATATAAATTTTGATCCCTGAAATGGTTGCCCCACAGTCTGATCATATTGAACAGGTTTTTATGCAATCATTTTGAATAGGAAATGCACTATGACGTCATTGATAAAATGTAAAAAAAAGAAAATCGGGAACAATAGACAAGCAAGACATTACCGTGAACCTGGGTACCGGGTACTCACCTTGGCAGCTGGATTGTCCAGACGTCAGTGTGACACATACTTGATATTCAGGACATGTATTCTTCTGGCAGGTCTGAGGTGCCTGAGCAGAACCCTACAGAGAAAACAAGACATGATGGCTTGGAACTGAAGTAAATAGAACATTTTGGTCGTTTCGACAATTGTGTGTGATATATTTGTAAGTAATTCAGAATTTAATTATAAAAGAATGCAGATATTAATAACAAAGGAAAGCCTAAAAAGAGTACGGTTCTTAGTTCAGAAAAATGCCATGTGAATTGGTTATGTCCTCTTCCATTGTATATATTTAGGATTAGCTCATTCACCTACCCATATGTAATAATCATAAACACGGAGGGTTCGAAGGTAAAGATTTTTTTTAAAACCCATTAAAATAGCCTCCGTTAGAAACTATAAGCACATAAACACATTGGTAACTGTTCACAAAAAAAATATTCAAATGATTAAATCCCGAAAATGACGCAACATGAAGGAGAAAACACTTTGACAAGTTAAAACTGACTCAGTTTTCATAGATCAACGATAAATTTCTTCATGAGACTTCATTCCTGGTCAGCATCACCAAGAACTGGGTGAATACCGTTTGAAAATACTTTATTTAACGTACGTCATCGTGTAATATCAAATATCCGTATATCTTGACAACAGTTTTGTATCTTAGAAAACCTATAACGTAGGTCGTAATGATCGTTTGCCAATTCCAAAGAGATCAATTGATTCTTAAACGGATTCTTTCTTGCTAATACATAGTTATATATATCATAAACATACACAAACCAAATGTCTCCAATGTTTTTGTTGTACGTTATGTTTCGACCATTCTGAGTATTTTTACAAAGTGAACCCAAGGAGAAGATCAATTGATACCCTGGTGTGACTCATGGCGTCTGTGGATATCACTGTTTACAGGGGTAGGAAATTCAACGATCATGTTTGTGTTATAAGCCTGCGTAGATTCATGATCCCGTGTATTAGCACGTACAGGCCTAGGACACAATGGGTATGTGACAGGATTAAGGCTTAGGATGAAATAGTAAAACGGATAGCTTTTTCCGAGCCTTCATGTTAGTGATTAGACACAGCTTCGTATCTAATATATTTGCTCAAAGGATCTCGAGAATATATTATAGTAGCTGCGTCCGGATCTGAATTTATATGTTCAGACCACAATGTCAGACGTTCTAGGTGTATATATCAATCAACTCCAGTGTGGGCCGAGACGGAGATTGATGTCTGAATGGCGTGTTTTATTTAAGGTCGAATCGAGAACGATAGATGGGATTGATTTTCCGACATCGAAAACTTGCTACTGCTAAAGTATGCACCATGATATATTATCCTTTCCATTTTGATCTGAGCCCATTAAACGTCTGGTATTACTTTTGTGGTTTCAACACGTGATATTGTTAGAACCAATGGGATTTGCAGTGTGCTGGACAAAACATTGTTAAATATTATGACGTGATGTGATAACATATTATACTATACTATACCTCGAGCTCTGTATCCGGATGGAACGCATATTTGGAATCTGACGTCAGAAGACTAGGGTCGTAGGACGAGGAGTTAGACACGAGCTCACATGCTAGCTGTCCCTGGTTGTAATTTATACCAAGACAGTCACGTCTATGTCTACACATGGTCCTACATTGTTGTAACCCAATCACAGCGACGTCCGTCAGCACATCACCAGCATAGCGCATGTTCTGTATGGAGGACGAGGGGTGTAGGTCGGCGCACACTTCATCGCAAGCTACACCTAAAGTAGAATGAATTAAGATAACAAATTGGTGTCATTAATGCTAGAATCTATGACGTCATTTTCACTTTTTTTAGTGACATATATTTCACTGTGTAAGATACTGATGATGTCATAATGAATTAGGTAAGGCCGG